AATGATGCGCATCATTGCTGGATTCAAGTTTTGCGTATTCAAATATGTGTGCAGAGCGGGTCCGCACACACGTGTGCAACTGCAGAGCAGTCAAAACAAAGAGCAAGTCGAGCACGGGGCAAGCAACCACCTTGGTTTGGCATGAAGCATCGGCAAGAACCTGGGTGGGTGGCTACAGAAGAGGTGAACCTGCCCTATGGCTGTCCAGATGCTAACTCTCTTGCCAGAGGTGAAGCACTTGCCCCAGTGGGTTGTGTGCATTTGGGGGAAGCCCTGCTGGGGGGCAAGCCAAAGAGTAGGGGTGGGTGGAATGTATTCTGGCCCCAAGAATCTCCAGCCAACAGAAAGCAATTCCCTCTTCAGACATTTCAGGTGAGGTGACTTACAGGATCTTGACTATAGGATGCAGTATTGGTGCTCCATGGAGAGGGGTGGCCCCCAGGGGAGCGGGGACATACAGCAACCTTCAGGGAGCCGTGTGTGAAGAAACAAGAGTGCAGACGTACAGCCTGAAGGTGTTAATGCTATCACAACCTCAGAGCGAGGGAGAGGGGAGGTGGAAGGTGACTGCAGCTGCATCTTCTGGGTTGTCTAGCGGGCAAGGGCCAAGGAATGGACAGCAACGCTCCTCACCTGGAGGGCAGGTTGCAGGAGGACAGGACTTCCGCATAGACTGTGCGTCACCTACACGTCTAGCATCAGGGTGCCAAGGAGAAGGGTTTGCTACTCACCAGCAAGCTGATGACAACCCAGAGGTTGGCATGGGTCCCTGCACTGAGCACGAGGAATACACAGAAGAGGAAGAAGAAGAAAGCTTGATATTAAGAAGTTCACGCAACCAGGAACATTTCAAGAAGATTCTGAAGAAACTTTTAAGACAAAGAAATGAAGTTGGCATTGTCAAATGATGATTGGAGTGGGGGGGGCAGCAAACTATTCCCTCTCTAGGTACCCAGTTTTCCTCTTCTACTTAACAAACCAATAAGCAACATCATGATAAACAGAGAAAAGACTGAAGATGTCAGGGATTTCATTTTTGGATCCAGTCAGCACTCATGGAAGCAGCATCCAGGAAATCAAATGCCGTGCTGCGCTGGGAAAATCTGCTGCAAAAGGCCTCTTTAAAAGTGTTACGAAGCAAAGATGTTCCTTTGAAGACTAAGATGTACCTGATTCAAACCATGGTATTTTCAATTGCCTTGTATGCACGTGAAAGCCGGACACGAATACAGCAGACTGAAGATGAGTTGATGCCTTTGAGTTGTGGTGTTGGGGAAGAATGCTGAAGGTACCCTGGGCGGCCAGAAGAACGAAAAGATCTGTCCTGGAAGAAGTGCAGCCGGAAGGCTCCCTGAAGTGAGAACGGCCAGACTTCGTCTCACGTACTTTGGTCATGTTGTCAGAAGGGACCATTCTCTGGAGAAGGATGTCGTGCTTGGTCAATGGGAGGGTCAGTGAAGAAGGGGAAGGCCCTCAATAAGATGGACTAACACAGTGGCTACCATGATGGGCCGAAGCACAGAAAGGACTGTGCAGATGGCACAGGCCCAGGCAGTGCTGTTGGTCGTACACAGGGTTGCTACGAGTCAGAGCCAACTTGATGGCACCTAACAGCAACAACTTAACAAACCTTGACACAAAGACATCCCTGCATCACTGAAAGGTGAAGACCTAGAAAAGTTCAGTCTAACTTTGGACATGCCACGTGAATTTATGGGGAAAGCGAGGGAGAGGGGAGGTGGAAGGTGACATACAGCTGGATGCACAGGGTCGCAAGGTGAGGGAGATAATTTTCCTGTCCTCCGATTCCACAGAGGCATTCAGTGAAAATGGCTGCCACCAAAAGCAATGCCTTTCACAGCATCAATCTCTGCCACCTCTCAAAACACCTGTGTCACTCTGGGATTTCCACTGTCAGTCAGGGTTACACATGTCAGTCCAGATGGGGTGCAGCTCACAGAGCAGTTTCTTTCTAGAGACCATTGGGAATCTGTCTTTACCAAGGGGCCCAGAGCCGGGCAGAAGATGCCTTTCCGGTCTTGTTAGTGTGACGTTTTCAATAGCAATCTGTCATCTGTTTACTTGCAACTGATTTGGGTCTCAGAGAAAACTCTCTTTCTCCTTTTCTCCAGTCCAGAGTGTCAATCATCAATCCATTCTGTTCTCAGGATGGGGACCTGGGCACCAGTCCATTGAGATAACCAAGATTCCAAAAATGAATGGGTAAGTTTGTCAAAAGCCAAAGAGCCACATGTATTTGAAACACCTTCTTCCCACCGTCTTTAACAGTGTAAGAAAAGTTACAGCTTTCAAAAATGAAAAGTTTTCAAAGATATTATCTCTTGTACACAGATGTGTTTGAAAAACCACCATAAGCCTTGTCATCGCCAGATTAAAAAAAAAAGTGATTTTGACACAAAATTGATCTACCATGAAATTCAATTTGGCAAACGCATTCAACTTGATACTTCTTGGAGAACATGCTCTGTTGGCTGAGGTTGGGGGAACTCACAGGGCTCTCAGAAATAAGTGGATAATCACCTTTTTAAATGATTTCAATTGACAATGGCAAGGAAACAAATATCTATAAACTAGAAGAGCATATATTCAAAAAAGGTGGTCAGAGAGAAGAAGTTCCTGGGGACAGAGTTTTGCAAAAATTGTACCCACGAGTTGAAACATGAACCAACCTTGTTCTGGATGGCCTTGCCCCTGGGGGGCTCGACAGCATGGCAGCTTCTGGGTCTTACTTCCGACCACTGTGAGGTGGCAACCCAACCCCCACCTCTGCATGTGGTGGACCTCAAAGGCTTTGCAGGTTCACAGAATTAATCCAGCTGAGGGCAAGATGCCACTGCGGACAAACTCCGGCCACCAGTTTCCCTTCGCACACACTGTAACTCCATAGTGCATAAAAGTATGTCGTGTCGTGTCGTGTGTGTGTGTGTGGTGGGTAGTGGGAGTGGTGTGTGTTGGCAAGGACTGTGGTCAACAGGGGTCCAGCCTGAGGTGTCAGAGAGGCAGGGGAGGCCTTCAAATTTGTCCAGTTTCTTTCTGGAGGGCTGTGGACAGCCCTGTGCTGTCAAATAAAACCAGGGTTGGAAATTTTGCTTTGCAAAGGGCCAGGCAGTAACTAACTCAAGGAGCTCTGGGGTGCAACAGTTACATCCTCAGCGGCTAACCAAAAGGTTGGCCGTAAGTACTTACCCGGCAGTGCCACAGGGAAAGGTGCGGCAATCTACTGCCATAAAGATTATAGTCTAGGAAACCCTAAGGGGTGGTTTGACTGTGTCACGGGTCACTATGAGTAAGAAGTGACTCGACAGCACCTAACAACAACAGCGGTAACTATCTTAGGTTTTATGGGCCACATATGGTTTCTGTCATGTTATTATATTTTTATAAACCCTTAAAAATGTAAAAACCACTCTTGGCTCACAGGTCGTATGCTGCAATTTGCTGATCCCTGAATCAAACCTTTCTGCCTTTCGACAAAATGTTTCTCTCTTCACAATGTTTTCACATTCTGTCTCGCTGACGGACACCAAGTGAGGCCCTTGACTCAAGCGGAGGCCATGCATAGCCCATAACTCGCTGAGCACTCCGATTCTACAGGGGCCCCCCAATCCAGGCTTGCTCTGCAGGTCCCTCCCTCACCCTGCCATCATGCTAGGAAGAGCGGGAGAGGAACAGGAAGTAGTACTTTCACGACAGAAAGGGGTGACTGTAAACATCTGTGAGGCTTCCGGACAGGCTCACAGCACTCAGAGAGGTTGCTGTCGAGCAGCTCCTGGAGCGGGACTCGTGGGGTTTCTCGCTGCTGCAATCTTCTCTCCCCAGAGGTGACAGGAGGTGGCCTAACGGACTTGACTGTCAGGGCTCCTGGTGGGACGACCCTGGTGGGCACACTGGCACTTTCAAAACCTAAGCACAAGCAACTCAGTTCAGCAGTAGCAGGCTTCCTGGGCCCTTCCTCCCAAACTGGAGAATGTGCACTTTCATCGGTGGTGATCATGGTCCAACGCCTGGCTGCTAAGTGGAAGGCTGGCCATCTGAAGCCACCCCGAGGCTTCTCCCAAGAAAGGCCTGGGGACCTGCTTCCAAGAGTCACAGCACTACGGAGCCCAGTTCTACTGTGATACACACACACTCTGTCAGCAACGACTCGGTGACAACTATGAAGAAACAGAAATCAGCAAGCACAACTGAGACCACCACACACGCTCCCCTGATGTGAACCCAGTGCTGGTCACACACACAGACACACACACGCACATGTGCGCACACACAGCTATGAACACCACCAGGACAGAGCACCTCCACCACACAGATGACACCGTGCAGTGCAGTCGGTTCGACTGCAACGCTCCATGGCTTCGTCAACTTCACCCAGCACTGCTTGGTACTATCACGTTAATAGTCTTAACACTTTTTTGGGTCCCAACCACAAAAAAAAAAAAAAAAATCTACTTTTTTTTTGGTGGCGGGGGAATACTCTTTCTGATACAGCATTATTTCCTGGGATGAGCCACGGTCATTACTGTCTTTTAAAAACAAAAAGCACAACAAGAACAGAGGTAGGACTTATGTTGCCATCTGGGGGTTTTCACGCGAGGGCCCGAGTAGAGTGGTGAGCCCCGCCCTGGCTAACACCCATTCATCTGCATGTTGCAAAGGTAGTCTTTCCCAGGTGTGTGCTTATCTGGACAGGCGCTTCTTAACATGACTCTTGTTGACTAAACACTTGAGGAGTGGCTTGGTGCCCACTGGTCCAGGGTTTCTGGCTCTCCCAGGCCACACGGCAGCCACCTCCCCTTCTAACTTGTGTTGCTTGGTGCTTTTGCTTCTTCTTCCCCTCTCAATGGCAAGAGATGAGGGGGAAGTTAGGATGACTTCCGTTATTTAGGGGAAATCAAGAGCCACAAGGCTGACCGGAATCCATCGTGAAACTTTGGGAGGGAACGTCGGAGAAGCTAAGTCCAAACGCAGACAAGAGTGGGTCAGCTTTTGCTGCCCTGTGAGGGGCTTGTCAAGTTTCCTGGGGCAGACCTCCCTGATGGCTTAGAGGTTGTGACTGTGTTCCTTGGGGTGGGCTGGGGCTCATGCAAGAAGGAAGACTCGCTTGACTTGGCATCTTGCGAGTCGGCGATAGTGGACACGTCAGCCTCGCTGGACAGATCTTCCGTGGAGAAGTTGAGGCTCCCGAGCTTGGCGAGGGAGTGCGAGCGCTTGAGTGGGGAGGAGACCGTGAGGCCGGCTAGCCGGAGCCGGGTCTCGATCTCCTGCGTCCGCTGCTTCACCAGGCCCGGCTTCCCTCGCACGCTGTGGATGCTGTCGCTGCTGGAGCTCCGGGTCAGGTTGGAGCTCATGGAGGATGAGGTGGGGGTGTAACAGATGGTCTTCAGGAAGTCTTTCGAGAAGTGACTGGTATGATCCAGGCGGCAGAGCCAGGGAGTAGGGCTCTTGAGACAGGCTCCTTCCAATGGTGGGGGGACGGCCTCCGATTTCTCCTCACTCCCAGCCTGGCAGGGCAAAGCCGGGGGCCCCGGCAGACAGAGTGGAGCCAGCTCCTGCCCTTCCTCGGGAATGCTGGCCTCCAGCCTGGAGGGGGACGCCATGTCCGCTGGCACGCTCTTCAACCTCTCCAGCTCTTTGGTGTGCTTGCGGACCAAGCCTGCCTTCTGCAGCTGCATGATGGACTCTTGGTGCTGCATCAAGTAGCTGCTGGTCATCGGCTTCTCGGATTCTCTACTGAACAGGACCCGCAGGTCCTTAGCCGGTTTTGAGTCCTTCTTGGGAGGCGGTTCTTCTTTCACCACTTCCATGCTGGGCAGGGTCTTGTCACAGTGAGAATTCTTCAAAAGGAGGGACTTTGGCAGAACTTTTTGGGTCTCTCTGGAAGGTTCCAAAAGGCTAGCTGGTAGGTCCGGGGCAGCCCCAGGCCCAGAGCCACTGGTGCCTGGCTTCCTGGAGCCTGCTGGTGGTAGAGAAGGAGGGGTCTCGGTCGGGCCAGAGGCCAGCTTCTCCAAAGCTCGGGACCTGCTGGACAGGTGGGCCATGGGAGAGGATGTGAGGTGTGGCAGGAAGGTTGGCTGGGTGCAGATGGTGGGTGTGCTGGGGTTCTCACACTGCTCCCTAAAGGCCTCTGGAGCCCCGCTGGCTGTAGGGTACATGCAGTCAGCACAGGGTCTGTAGGAAGGCTTCACTTTGCTAAGGATCCCGAATATAGCGTCGTGCTGAAAGAGGACAAGAACAGTGTGAGAGAGGCTGGTAAGAGCCAGACCAAAAAGCATAAGGAGGGAGTTGGACAGGGCTGGGGGCAGGCATGGAGAGGAAGCACTCTCCCTTCACTGGGGACAGGAAAAGAGACTGCTAAGAACCTGCTGGGCTGGGAATAACGTAGGTTAGAGATGGCTTGAAGCTGCCCACCCAGGCTCTCCGGAAGCTGGTGCCCGAGATCCACACCAGCAGTCAGAACAAGCAGGGCCGCCCTTCGCCACCTGCCCCTGCCACCTGCACTGTGTGACCTGCTCCACGCCTCAGCCTCACCTGGAACACTGGGGTATTGAGCCCCACCTCTGGACACTGTGAAAATGAAGTGACACAGAGTTTCTGGCACAGTTGGCACCTCTGCCTTCCTTTCCATTTCCAAAAATTTGCTTTGGGGAGTCTTCAGCCAGACAGTAGAGGCCTTCCTGTCTAGCATGAACCCAGCGTGGCTCCAAAGAACCATCGTCTGGCTGTGGTCTTTGTAAGAGCGAGGACCTGGCTCCGTGATGGTGTTTTGAAAGAGTCCAGCACAGAGCCAAACACAAGTGCCACAGGCTGCGATGAAAGATCGTGCTATGCCACGGTGGGTTTCACACCCCAATGGAACATGCATTTATACTGTCTCCCAAGGAAAACCACCTTGCCTCGGGTTCTCACTCAGTCAGTTCCAACTCACAGTGACCCTACAGGACAGAGGAGAACTGTCTCCTAGGGTTTCCAAGGCTGTAATCTTTACTAGAACAGACTGCCAGGTCTTTTCTTCTGTGGAGTGGCTGGTGGGTTGAACCTTTTGGTTAAGAGCCAAGCACTTACTTAACCACGGTGCCCCCAGGGCTCCATTGCCTGTGTTTACCGGGGGTCTAAGAAACATGACACATGTCTTTACCTTTCTACCATGTGGACACGCAGCTCAGCTGTGTGTATCCCTCATGGCCAATCAACACGGACAGGGCTGCTCTTCTGGACTGTGAGATGGAGCAAGAGGGAGTCGACTTTCCCCAAGGTGTTTAGCTGTAAGATTCCTAGGCTGGTCTAAAACGAAGCTTTCCTGGCAGAGGGCTGGGGCCTGCGTTTCCCACAGTGCTGCCTCCCTGCCAAGGGAAGGTTGGGTGATGCCAGCTGACCGTCCGGGATTAACACCAACCTGTGTGGCAAACCGAGGTCCCGAGGGGAAGAAGGCTTGGGCTGGTCCAGCACCAGAGGAGTCAGCAAAGCTTAGCCATGATGCCCAGAGTCTATGGGGCTTCTGGGAGTGGGGGCAGTGTGCAGTGGGGTGGAGGGTCTTCTGCAGAGTCAGATCTCAAATGGAGTCCTGGGGTCAGCTCTGGGTTCACCAGCGTGAACCCCGTCCTGACAAATCACCCACGGCCCTGCATGAAGGTCTGAATTCTTGACCTCAAATTCTTGAAAAAATTCCTCAGAATCTCTAACCAAATTGTCTCCAATTTCCTTTCTTCTAAAACCTCCCTGGGAGGTGGGATTGACATTGACCACGGCAGATTTGAGGGAGAGCCTCTCAGAGCCCCGAGGGGATTCGGTGCAGGGAACTCATTCCTTCAGCACACATAGAGAGCCTGCTGCCACCAGCCAGGAGCTGCCCCAGGCACAGGGCCATGGACCAGCACAGTCCCTGCACTCTGGTGGAATGGACCAGAAAATTGGGTGGAAAGTGCTAGAATAGAGAGGAAAATGCAAGTGTTGAATGGGCACAAGAGAGGAGAGAGGGTGGTGGTAAGGGGAAGGTGCTAGAGGCACAGGGAGGAGAGAGGGAGCTGCAGGCAGGGGGAGGAGAGGGCGCTGCAGGCAGGGGGAGGAGAGGGCGCTGCAGGC